TCCGAGTCCCTTTGTATTATTTATAACCTAGTGTTGTACCAGTTTTTTTTTATATTTATTAAATAGAAATTTTAACCGTAGTAAACAGCGGTGTCCGCAACAACAATACGGTCAGAGGGCTAGCAGGGAGGCGCTGCCCGTAGATGGGAGTTATCTTGCCTATACTGTGGCTCCTGGTTGTGGATGAGCTCCTCACTGAATTCGAGAGACTGGGGGCAGACGCCATCGGATACGCAGACGATGTGGCTTTGCTCGTGACTAGCAGGAATGAGGACACATTCCACCGGAAAATGCAGAAAGCGCTGGACTATGTTCAGCACCTTGCACGTCTCATGGGATTAGGGTAAACCCGTGCAAGATGGAGATGGTACTTTTTACTAATAGGAGGTGTGTTATAAGACCCCTCTCTATTAATGACTCAGTTCTGGACTTTTCGGAAGAGGTGAAATACCTAGGCGTATGACTGGACCAAAAGCTCAGCTGGAAGATGTACATCACCATGCAGGCGAAAAAGGTCATCACGACTTATTGGGCATCCAGGAAGATGTTTGGTAACGCGTGGGCGCTAAGGCCCAGATTCGCGAAAAGGATCTATACAGCCATAATGCTCTCACCGCTCACTTACGCTACTGTTATATGGTGGACGGCTATAAGGTCTGCAACAGAAGAACGGTAGATAGAACGGGCGAATGTTAAACGGGCGAATGTAACTTGCGATGTTAGGAATCACAGGGGCACTGACGACGACTCTCACCTCAGCCCTTGAGGCTCTGCTCTTCCTCCAGTCGCCTCACGTACATATTAAAGAGGTCGCGCTCATCTCAGAAGCGAGATTACGGCTGCAAGGCCTATGGAAGGGGGCCAGCAGTGGTCATGCGGCAATCCTTACTGTGGACGACGACCTTAAGGGACTGGTATCCCGGAAAGGAGATACCTACGGACTGCGATGGCATTTCCAATTCAATTTTAAGGCCAACCTTGGAGATGGGAAAACCCAAAGGGGCTGCTCTGGTACACGGACTCCAGAATTGGCAACCGAGAGGAAGCGTGTCTGAAGGACCGTCAATTGCAATCCCTTGGACTGGACTCGCACACGACCGTGCCTCAATCAGAGCATGCAGCTCCAAGGGCCTACGGCAGGGAAATCCTGGACGGGGGGACAGGGGCAAGAAGATATACATCTGCTCAAACAGCAGTCGTGCATCGAGAACACTGCTCAGGTTTGAGAGTTACTCTCAATTAGTCAACGACTGCACTGAGCTACTCAGCTGGAAAGGATTGCTGTCTATAATCAGCTGAACATGGGCTGGATCTCAGGCTAGGCTGGCATCCTCCACAATGTGAATGCCGACGAGGTGGCCCAAAGAGGATGTCTAGAGGTTGTGCCAACAGAGGAGAGTGGGTGTGCACATAGACTTCATCAAGGATATGATCCAGAAATGAGCGGAGAGAAGGGTTGTGGCAAGGTAGCACTCTGCATAAGGCACTAAGTACCCTTCTACATGAACGTATGGAAAAACTAGCTGAGACGCTAGTAAGGCTGAACAGGATAAAACTCCTTTCTCTTGTGGGGCTTATCACTGGTCACTAGCCCATAGCCTCATATTTGGCAAAAATAGACAAAACAAGCGACCCTGCGTGCGCGAAATGCGAGCTAAGCGAGGAAAATCAGCACCTTCTATGCACTAGATGCAAGATAAGTTCCCGTGTGATTTTTTCAGGATCACTTGCACTAAGGTAATGTCTGTCGATAGGGATGGTATAGAAGGGCTCTACGAATTTGCTCGCAGGACCAAAATGCTCCTACCTATGGACTAGGCGGCTGTCTTGTGCAGAGTGTAAAATGGCCAAACAGCTCATTGCACTTCCTCAACTTATGGGGGAAACGCCAAGATCGCTAAAAGCTTAAAAGCGTAATGAATTTGAAGGAAAAAGTTCAAAATCATAAATTAATTTGTTGGTGTAATTATCAATATTATTGAGGTAGCATAAAGGAAAAAAAATCCATCGCCAACAGATCATCTGGACAATCGTTGGAGCTATGATGGTCAGTTATGAGAAATATTTGACATCTGAAATCGCATATCAGACTTCACATGGTTAACATTGGATATCAGATGATAGATAGTTCATATTCAACTGGCTACTTATCAAGAATTCAAACATAGCACATCTCATTAACGAGGCGATTCGATCACGAAAGTCAAAAAATGCTATTGGAAGAACGTTATTTGGGAAAGCACTAAAAACGTATAATGTTCCTCGGGAGTTCACTGGTAACGACGAGCGGTTACAGACAACTATTAATGTTGAGTCGTCGACACGTCGCGGTAACGGTCAGCGACATCAGTAATTTATAGATCCTATAAAAGAAAAACACAGTGACGAGTCCTATAATAATATCAAAAGTATGCAAGGCGGTGGGTCTTTGAAAATACGATGGATAAGAGTGCGAATGTGATCCACTTTGAGGATATTTAGTACAACCCTAAGCACCGTGTGGCACTTGTTGGTGCACGTAGCCTCCAAGAAATTCACAAAGGTGATGATACCAGGAGTTGGCTGGAGAGTCAGGATGCATAAAATCTGTATAAGCTAGTACGTCACAGATTCAATAGACGCTCTCATAACGTCTGTGAATTTGATGTTGTTTGGGAGGCTGATTTAGTTGACCTTCGTGCCATATCAATATACAACGAGAGGTACTACCTGTTCAGATATCTTTCATAATCTTCACTTAGCACCTTTAGTGAAGAAACTTGTCGCATTTGGAGCTGAAGATAAATGTGCGATATTATGTGCCCAAAATCATACGTACGAGGGAAAGTCACCGGCTTCATTATCACGCACTCTGCCCCAAACTATGTACGTATACTCGTGTATATGCGAAACCTATACAATCGGCGATGTGTACAATCTACTAATGCCTATTGTACCATTGGATATTGATAATTGCAAATACGGGATATGAAAATGAGGGTATTTTCACCGCCTCTTTATGCACCATTACTACGCACGAAATTTCAAACGATCGAGGTAGATATAAGGGATGGCTATGGAACAGCGATACCATTTAAACACGGAACGTTAACCTTAACCCGTTGTTGCAAAATCGATTTGCAACAAAAATTAGTGATGGAAAAATAAAAAAATCAGTAGAGACAGGACCAACTTACTTGGTGCGCTTTTTCGCAAGAACTAGAGCTAGGGCCAATGATTATCTTCAGTCACTTTTAGTTATTAATCAAATTGCATTTTAGCATTATCCTGTAAATAAAACCGCGCCAAGTAAGTTGGTCCTGTCTCTACTGATTTTTTTATTTTCATTATTGAATCCTTTCTATCGACT